TGTTCTTTGGGTGACTTATAAATAATCATATAAAGTATGTGTCCTGTATTATGTTGTTCCCCTTGCAAAATAAGCCCCAAACCAACACACTAGCCCCAGCATTTTCTTGGGCCTGACATCTTTACATGCAAGGATGGGGATGGGGATGAGCCTGGAGAACCAGAGGGACTGCTGGCCACTCTCATGTCTAGTAGCCATGACTGCTTTTCAGCTTCCCAATAAGTGACAATGTGTCCTTTACAATAAGCTGTTGTGTGCTGGCATGGTGGCACATACCTGTAATCCCAGCACTTGGGAGGCTGAGGTAGGAGGATTGCCATGAGTTGAGGCCAGCCTTGGATATATAGTGAGTTCAAGGCCTGCCTTAATTATAGAGAGAGACCCTGACTCAAACAAAACAACAAAACCCAATAAGCTGTTGTGGGCTTACACACTGCTCTTGGATGGGTCATGTACAGAAAAGAGTATCTTTCCAGTCACTCTCTTCAAGGTCTTCCTAGACCTCCAGCCCCAAACCCCACTGGGACATAAGGATCCCTGGTGGGCACATAGGGGCTGAGGTCCATCATTTGGGAGCAGTAGAAAGGCCCAGGCCTGTCACAGGGATCTCCCTGAGCTCAACAGCTCTCCCAGGAAAGCCAGGTTGTCCCTGGACTTCAGAATCGCCGCCAGAGGTCCTACAGCCAGCTTTGTCTTCAGCCTAGTCTTCCCATGAGCTGGGGTTTATAGAATATCTGGTGGCTTCTGGTGTGGGTAAAGGAGGTGAGGGTTCAGTGATCAGCTCAGCAGGGGTGGGAGGAAGCTAGGGCCCACCAGGCCATTTCATCACCAGCTCTTTGGGGGTGCAGGTTCCCTCCACAGATTCATCCTCTGCACACACTGTTTGGGGTTCTCAGGGCTGCTCTCTCAGATGGTGAAATGGGAGTTGGAGAAAGCCTGCCTCATCATCTATGGGTGATGCCCATTGCTCCCAGTGGAGATGCTTGTCCCAGCCCTTTATGCTGCCCACCTTTCCTGTCTTTGCCACACTCCTCTTCCCCTCACCTGCAACTCTTCGGGACAGTGCTACCCACCCCCAACTCAGAGTGGTATCTGCTGGCTTAGGAGCACAAGCAGTGGAGAAATTTTATAAAAGATAAGAGGGCTTGACAGTCCCAGGCCACAGGGGCTATTGAATGATCAAATAACTCCAGGCCCAGGCCAGGATTTATTGTCCCCTTGCAAACCACCACAGGTTCTCTTCTTGTACAAACACTTATTATGTGCCGATTATGCCTCGAGGGGCCTCAACCCAAAAGGCAAACGGTCCTTGCCCCAGTGGTCAGTGGTCACGCCGGACCCATGTTCCGCCGCCTGCACCCCAAACCAGGTGGGGACCAGTGCTTGCAAGCTTCTATACGCAAAGGCTCCCATGTGCCCAGCACTCAGCCAGGCCTACTTTGCGGTGGCAACTGACTCTGTGCTCCAAGAGAAACGGTGAGAGGCAGTTCTGGGTGGAGGGAGGATATGAGTGGGCAGTGCAGGGAACAGCCCCAGTGCTCCCTCTGCCAGGACCTCCTAGGCCTTTTGAAAGTCACAGTTTAGAGAAGGGTCTCCAATTCTCATGTGCACAGAAGGATGATGCCCCGCCCATGGATGTACTCTGCTCCAGGGGCTCGCCATGCCCAGCCCTCTGCCTAGCTGTGTGCACACCAGCACAGGAACTAGGCAGCCAGGAGTCCAAGGCCCACGCTGAGCGCTGCCAGCAACACACCTTGGGCAAGGTCCAAGCAGGGTCTGCACAGTGAGGCAGCACCAGCAAGTAAAGGCCACGGTGCTGAAGGGCAGGATGCAGCATAGCCAGGAGTGCCCTGTACCACTAGTGGCTATGAGTAGAATATACGGGACCCTAGAGGATTCAGGAGGCACAAGGCCCAGTGGGGCAGGCTCAGGGGGGCAATAGCTCCAGTGCGCTCATGTAGCTGACCAACTGGGTGATAGCCCTGAGTGGATGGGGTGGGAGTATTCATTGCAGCCTTTGCTCTCTGGCCAGCCACATCAGATTTGATTGGCTTTGGATGTGATGACAACACCCAAGACGCCAGGGAGTTCTGCCACCACCTCCAGCTTTGGTGGGGAAACCTTTACTTGCACTGAATCCCACTGGGGGCCTACTCACAAATATGCCTTCTCAGTGCAGCTCTATCCAGGGCACCTCCTTGCCCAAAGCCCTTGTACACTGATGGTAATCTGTGGGACAACTCCAGGGCCCTAGATTGGCCCTGAAATGGGTGGACTGACTCAAGGGTGCCCTCTCACTGTGCCTGGCCAGGACAGGGGTAAACAGTATCCTTGCTTCCTGTGATGTAGGATAAAGGGAGTGCAGGACATTGACCTAGGAGGTACAGTGGCAATAAACCAATCAGACCAGTTGATGAAATAAGCTGGGTTGCTGGGTGTGGTGGTGCATTCCTATAATCCCTGCACTCTAGAAACTGAGGCAGGAGGATCACTGCCTACATAGTGAGTTCAAGGCCAGCCTAAACTATAGTGCAAGACCCTGTCACAAATTAAAAACAAAATGACAACATAAAACAAAAGCGAATAAACCAAGAACTCCAGGTAAGTTGCCTGCTGTGGAAACTGACACTGTATAGTAATTGTGGTAGTGTTCATCCTGGAAATTACAGGTTCTCCAGATCGGAGCACCTGTGCATAAGTTCTGTAGGGAGTAACGCAGTTGCCAGGAGGAATTGGTTGGCTAACAGCAGCAGCAAGGCACAGGTAATTTGGGGTGCTGAGCACCAGCCTACCAGGACTGGGCAGGCCACAGACTCCTTTCTTGGATCACCATTCCTTGGGAGCTGCCCCAAGTGGATCCCTTTAATGCAATGGGAGCCAGTTTTTCATTTTCTACTTTGGACTGTCATCTGGTTCCTACCATCAAACCTGGGGCCCTCTGTCAGATGGCATTTCTTGCTGGACTGTGCGTCTCCATAGATAGCTGTCCACAGAAGGGGCCAGTGTGCCAGCTCTAAAGAAAGCTTAAGCAGTTGGTGTTCAGTATTCATGTAAAGAATACCATGCACAAGGGCTGGGGATTTAGCTCAG